CGTGCTTATACAACACCCCTCGCTGCACGTCTTCTGAGCAAACGTGTATAGAGAAGTCCTGCCTTCCTTGTGAGAATGGGGCCCCCTGGAGGCAAGGCTGTGTGTTCCCCTCCCACTGAGGGTCCCTGAGAGAAGGGACATGTCTGCCCCTCAAACTGAAGCCTTCTCTGTCTCTTTCAGCCTCAGACTCATCTGGTGCGCAGCCTGGGGCTGCTCAACACCGCATGCCTGTGTGTGTGTGTGTGTGTGTGTGTGTGTGTGTGTGTGTTGAGGGTGGGTAGCCAAGACTTGCAGCCTCTCTGTCTCTGCCAATTTTCCAACCCCACCCAGCTACAGAGGCCTGGGAGGGTGAGCTGGGCCCCTGGACTGAGGGAAGCAGGGATGGGCCCAGAGCCCTGCCTGCCTTCTGGGGTGGGCCCTGGGCTGGAGGTGGGGCCCATCTTTCCCTTCCTCCCAGGGCCTGTGTGGGGAGGGGGGGCAGCCCGAGTGCTGAGCCCATGCTGGGGCCATGACCGCTTCTCCCTGCAATAAGTGAGGAGACAGCAGCTATTAATATAAGATGAGTTCACGGGCTCACAGCTTCTGCAGGCAGGAAAACAGGCTCCCGGGGCTGGGGCTGTGGCAAGTCTGTCTGTCAGATTCTCCTCTGGAGCCTGGAGCCCTCCAGCCCCCACAGCCCAGCTCCCTGCACGCTGAGACCTTTGTGCACACAGGCACATGCATGCAGGCCCACGTGGTGGTCCAGGCCCCTGGCTGTTCAGAGAACATACACATGCCTACTCACCCAGACATGCATCTATAACCAGATTATCTGAACACTGGTACACATTTGTACATAGATATATCATTGCACACATGTATATAGATCATGTCAACTTCACGTGCACGTGGTTGCATGCAGGAACTCACACGTGCCTTTGCATACATGTATATACACACAGAGACAGACTTATCCTTGTATACATGTGTGCACATGGGTCTGAACATGCAGACCCATACCTGTTTGCACACCACTGCACACCCACATATAGACCCAAGACTGTACCTGTAAACAAACAGAACCCATAGCCATGTACACACGTTCGCAGACAGGACCACATTTACTGGAGGCCGGTACGTGCCCTTTTGCACGCAGTGCACACAGTTGCACAGGCTCCCCGCTGCTATCAGTGCTCAGCAGCCATGATTCACCGGCGGCAGGCCCTCCGTTTCCAGCTCCATGGAGCTGAGCTGGTTCGGCTTCCCCTCCCTGCCTCTCCCCTCCTCCAGCCTCATGACAGGCAGCCGCAGCTCCTGCCAACCCCACGTCTGCCTTCTGGCTTCCCACCCCCCGGGGGTCCCCAGATCCCTGATTAACCCCCTCGCTAATTGGCCACCAGCCCCTTGACTTTGCTGCAGGCCTTCTCGGGAGCTGGGAGCGAGAGGCTGCAAATTGGCTAGGAGGAAGGGTCTGGGGAATAGAGTGCAGGCGCAGGGCGAGGGTGCTGCAAGCCCAGGGCCTGGCTGCAGCCAGGCAGGGCACCCCGGTGCCAGGGCCAGGGGACACCAACATCCTGTTTTCTGGCGAGGGCCCTCCTCCAGCTCACATGTATGCGGTCCTATGAAGCCATCCCTTCCTGCACACGTACACGCTCATCAGACGTGTGCATGGACATGCCCCACCCTCTTCACACAAATGAATGTGAACATTCGCACATACCCAAGCACACTCATGAACAAACCCAGTAAGCATTCAAAATCTGACATGTGCATAAATGCGCCTTCCAGATATCCTGAGACCATTTGTATGTACATCAAAACGCACTTCAAGCCCGGCCGGGTAGCTCAGGTGGTTAGAGCATCATCCCCCTACACCAAGGTTGTAGGTTCAATCCCTGGTCAGGGCACATACAAGAATCAACCAATGAATGCGTAAGCGGAACAATAAATTGATGTTCCTCTTTTTCTCTTCTTGTCTCTCTCAAATCAATAAATAAACTTACACACACACACACACACACTTTACCTAAACACACAAATGCAGTCACATGTACAGGCTTGTTTACACACATACACATGCCTATGAATGTTCTCCTAAGTATATGTGCAGGCATGCATGACCATATACCTACATGTGTGTGAGTGCACACTGTGGAGTCCAGGCACACTGTGCACCGCACTCACATGCTTGTAAATATTTGAACCCGCTACCAGTGACCACCGCCTAGGGAGAAACTCCCGCAGCCTGCCTCTGGCTCTGCACCGGAAAGGGAAGCTGAAGGCTGGTGCAGTCCGTTGGGGGGGGGGGGAGGGCAGTGGTGGGCCCCCCTCCTCCCCTCACGTTCCAAGCTGCCTGGCAGCGCTTCTGGCTTTGGCCTCTGTAGCTCCTGTCTTCTTGGCTCTGAGACAAGCCCACATCAGATTCTGCTCTGTTTCAGGCAGCCTGGGGCAGTGGAAAAAAGAGTTTCTATTTCCATGCTGGATACCAACTGGCTGTGTGACTTTGGGCAAGTTGCTGTGCCTCTCTGTGCACCACTTTCTCAACTGTAAAATAGGAATAAAAAACTCTGTGTTGGTCTGGTCACATTTATGGGTGTGCTTTACTCAGGCACACACATCTGGGGAGGTGTCAGTGCCCAAGACGATGAGAAGCCAGAGTAGAAGGGCCTGCCTATGTCATCACAGTCAACTCCTCACTGAATAGGTGAGGCCACCTGGCTGGTGTGGCTCAGTGGTTGAGTGTCAACCTATCAACCAGGACTTCACGGTTTGATTCCTGGTCAAGACGCATACTGATTAACAATGCTCTCTGATCTTTCTTTTTTCTTTTATCCTTTCCTTTTCTTTTTCCCTTCCCTTCCCCTCCCACCCTCCCTCCCTCCTTCCCTTCCTTCACAGAGAGAGAGACATCAGTGATGAGAGCGAGCATCATTGATCGGCTGCCTCCTGCATGCCCCACACCGGAGACCAAGCCTGCTGCTCAGGCACGTGTCCTGACCAGGGATCTAACCGTGACCTTTTGTTTTGGTTCATAGGTCAATGCTCAACCACTGAGCCACACCAGCTGGGTTCTTTGATGTTTCTACCTCTCTGTCCCTCTCCCTTCCTCTATGAAATCAAGTGTATATATATCCCAGAGAGGGAGCAAGGTGGGAGCCTAAAGATCTGCCTTCTGACCTCAGCCCGCACGCCCGCTCCTGTCTGTAGGGGAGGGTGTGCAGTGGCAGAACGCCCGACACCGCGGTTCTGACGATTCCCCACATGGCTCTTCGGCTGTGAAAGGCTTTTTGTCCTCCAGCTTCAGATCCCCTCATCTCCTGGGGCCGAGGGGCAGCCCCTGGTGAGCGCCTGAAAATGCTCTCTGCCTGGCGATCTGGGGGGACTAGCCGACACCCACCCCTAGAATTTACAGGAAACAGAGCCAGATTGCCCTGGCCACTGGGCGGCCAGGAGGGGGCAGTGAGGAACTGGCAGTGAGCAGGGAGGGGTGTGCGGTTTGCCTGGGATTGTGTGTATTCCTGTAACTGTGTGCGGATGTCTTTGTTTACACAGGAGCAGGGCTGTGGGTGTGCCAGTGTCCCTGTGCCCACGGACGTGGGTAGGTGTCTATTTGCGTGTCTACCTCTGAGTGTGCATGAATGTGTGCATCTGAACAGGTGTGCGCCCGTACCAAGCAGGGTGTGTCTGTGGGGAGCCCCGTCCGAAACCCAGCGAGTTTAGGGGGCAGGTATTTCCAACTCCGAAGGAAGGTCTACAACGGCTGGAACCTCAGTCTAGCTCCCTTGATTTCAAAGCAAAACCAACCATTACCTGTAAACCGGCACCTGGAAGAAGTGGACAAAAAGGGAAACCCTTGAACATGGCCCTTACGACACCAACCACCACGCTTCCAGCTGCAGATTCTGAAGGCGGGCAAGCCGCACGGTGAGCAGAGCGCCAGCTCGGAACCGGGCCGCTCCTGGCAGCTGTGAGCTTAGCCAACGCGCTTCCCCCTTCGGCCTGTTTTTCTCACGTGCAGTTTGGGGGCCCCTGGCCTCCTGAGGGTGAGGTTAAATGTCTGTGGTTTGGGGCAGGTGGTGGCACTCGGCGAAGGCTCCTTCTGCTCAGGATGGGCCGCGGGGAAGCGCTGCGGAGGGACAGCTCCAGGGGAGACACGGGAACGCCAGCGCGGACTCTGGCTTCCCAGAACCACATTCCTCCCTCCAGCTCCCGGCAAGGGCGGCTCCCCACCATTCTGTCTTCTCCCGCGGCCGGCGCCTGGCGGCCTGTCCGGCACCGGCCCTGGGAAGCCAAGTGCTGACTAAACACAGGCCTGAGCGCAGGGTGGAGCCGGGGCAACATGGGGGCTGGCTGCTCGCGGCCCCCTCCCCTGCACCCCCACCTCCAGCCCTGAGCGGGGCGGCTGGCGCAGCAGTTGCTGACAATTCAAAACTTCTGCCCCCTCTCCGGGGACGCCAGTGGGTGCCTGGAGCGCAGGCATGACCGGCCACCAGCCGGGTCCGCCCTCTCCCGCCCGGCGGAACCCGTGTCAGTTCCTGCCCCGGGACAGTACCCACAGCAGCTGTGCTCGCAACCACCACAACCGTTGCTTCCTGGGCAGGTCACTTTTTGGGTCAGAACATAAACCCAGCCCCGCGCTGGGGAGAGGGGCGTGCGGCAGGCAGCCCAAACCTTTCATCGGATTCCACTGGAAATTGTTCTATTTAAGGTAAGTTGCTTGGGTCTGAGAAACAGACAAGATGCCGGCCAGATGTTGGGAGGCGGCATCAGCATTCAGCCTGTGCTCCTCTCCTGCGCAGCTCGGGCTGCCAGCGCGTCTCCCGGTCCCAGCGCACTCCCCGCGGCCTGGCGGGCAGAGGGGCCTGGGCGTCTAGGCCCCAGACCTGGGTGTCCTGCCTTCATCCCACCTCCCCCAGGGTGACCGTCACACCTGGGCCTGCCGCTCCCACACCCCCTGGGAGCTGGCTCCGTGTCGCCCGCTTCTACCCCTCTCCCATGAAACACACACACACCCCCGAGGTGCCGAGTGGCGACAAAGATTTTATCGAGTTATTGAAAGCATGGGCGTAGGTTTACGTAGGTGCACGTATAGTTACATGGAATCTTCAGGTCACTGGGAGCTAACGTACATGAGCCTGGCAGGGAAGCAGAGACCAGACTGGGAGCCACGGGGCTTTAAGAAACGGGACATCTTTCTGAGGACCCGGGAGCAGTGGGGCAAAGGGAAAGGGTCCGGAGGGGCTTGGCTTACCCCCACCGGCCGCTCAGATCTCCAGCGGAAGCTCCTCCCCCACCCTCGGGGGGAAGGGACCCATTTCAGACTGTGTCCCCACCACACACGTGCTCGCTCCCTAAGACCTCGATGTGGAACACACACCCCAGTCCTTTGGTCCAGGTGCTTCTGTTTGTATCAGAGAGAAGAAGGCACTTTGGGAGCATATGGTCACTCTCCTACAGGTACATCATTCCAGACAGAAAGTAAAAACCGGTTAGTTTCGCGAGCGAGTTAACTAGGAGTCACCACAGTGATTGTTCCCACGCGCTCACTGAGGCAGAGGAGGTGGCCCCTGGTCGGCGGAGGGCTGCGGGGCGGAGGCGCGGGGAGGGCAGAGCGGGGCACGGGGGAATGCGTAAGCAGAGGGTCACCAAAGCCAAGAGCCCTCAATCTGTCCGAGCCGGCGCTGTGGAGCCGGAGGAGTGGCGCCACGGGAGGAGATTTCACATTAGCCTGACAACACCGTTGGGCTCGGCGGTGACATTGGCCAGGTCGTTTCTGAGGCTTGAGCTCCTGGAGGCAGGGCCGTCCGAGCTTCCAGGGACAGGAGCCCCCCCCCCCCCCCCCAAAGGCTGCGCCTCTGGAATGTACTCATCTCACCACCTGGGCAAAGCCACCAATCACTCTGACACGCCTGCCTGCCGGGGAGCGGGGCCCTGGGCCCCAGGAATGGGGGCAGGCTCCCTGGCTGAGCAGGCCAGAAAGGGAGGTGGTTTCTTGGCCTCAGCACTTAAGAGTCCTTGTGAGCCATTGTTCCATTCGCTTACCAGCTTGGGCCCGGTTTAAATAATCACTAAACTTCGCATTCCACAATTACAGGATTCTAAAGACACACGATCACCTGCATAGGGTCCTTTACATTCTAAGGGGCCCGGGGTTTAAAGCAGCGTTTTGGGGGTGAACCAATGCACAAGCAGAGCCCAGCTGACTGGGTCCCAGCCACCCCTCCCCCACCCCCGCCGAGGAAGCCGCTGCTACAAAGCGCAGAGCTTGGCTGCATAGATTTTAATGAGAACGTCAGGCAGAGCTGTGCTGTTGCTCTCCGGGACTTGCAGATCATTACCAAACCAGCTGTAGGATGAGAACACAGCACATCGAACCCCTAGGAGGTCACTGAGCTAATGATCTAATCCTACCTTCCGCAGGCAGCGCCCCTCCCCGCCTCCCCCTGCCCCCAGACCTCTCCAGGGCGGACTGTCCATTCCAGCAGCCAGGCCAACGCCGCCCCCTCCAAGGTCAGAGCAGAACGATAGCGAGTGGCACTGACTCCCCTTTTCCGGGAAGGAGGGGGATGGGAGTGACTTAGTCAGAGCCATTAGGCCCAGGCCCTGGCCTGGCCAGGCCCCGGGCCTCCTATTTGGAGAGCCACTGCCCTCCGCCTCCAACAGCCATTTTAGGTTCTGAAGAATGGACCTTGTGCTTCCAAGTGCAGGTGGGAAGCGAGGCAGGGCACACACAGCCTGGCGTGCTCAGCACGAGTGCCAGGTGCTGGCCCTGTGCCAGACACTGACCTGGGGAGGGGGGAGGGGCCGAGGCAGCCCCAGGAGGAGGGCATGCTGGCCCCACGGCTCCGAGTTCAAGGAAAAGAGGCAGAGGGGGCGCATTCGGCGGGCACAGCGCGGTACCCATGATTACACACGCTCCTCAGCCGGAGGGTTTATGAGGGCTTTGGCAATTACTACAACCATTTGCTGTGCGGGGCACAGGCAGATCCTGTTTCTCTTTGTTTCAGGCTCTGAAAGCAGGAGCAGCCAGGAGCAGCCGGTTTCGGCATAAGAGGCTGCACAATAGTTGGGGCAGAAGAGAAGAAACCTCCCTGCTGGCCACAGCAGACCAGGTTTTTGGAATAATAGCACCTGTGTGTTAGCTCGGGGAACGGGGGGAGGGCAGGAACGTCACTGGGTGCTGAGGAGGGAGCTGGAAATGAGACCCACTGTCCCTCTGCTGATTTCAGCCTTCCTCGGGGCTGCCAGGCCCCCCAGGCAGCTGCCTGCCACGGCTGCCAGCCTGAGGGACTGCAGTTTCCACACTTGGCAGAAATTGGGGAAATAAAACGGGGAGGAGTGAAGAGGAATTGAAAACAGCACCTGTCAAAGCTGCCCACCCCCTTCCTTCTCTCACTACCTCTAGTCCCCCGACTGGGCAGTTCCCAAGGCCAGTGGCTGGTAGATAGCAAAGGGGAAGCAGAATATTATGAGGCCATAAGGGTCTGAGCAGCACTGAGGGCCTGGCACAGGCCCCGAGCCCTCCTGCTGGGACCCCCCGCTCCCCCTTATGGTGAGGTCGGAAGCAGCAGAGCTGAGAACGCTCGGCCCAGGCCCTAGTTGGTCCCAGAAAGCACAGGTGACTTGGAATCAGACACCCTCGGCTCCAGCCCTGTTACGATCCAACTGCATGACCTTGAGCAAGTCACTTCCCATCTATAGACCTGAGCGTCACTCAGAGGGTAGGACCCACAGCGAGCCACCGTGCCTCCAGCACTGCAGTCCAGGTCTCTGAGCTTGGTCCTGCCAGCAGCAGAGGCCCCATCCCCGTGTGCCAGGGCGTTTGGTCATGGGTATGAGGTCAGAACTGGGCGGTGGTGCCCAGAGGCACCTGGTGACCGCAGAGGGGTGCGTAAAGGAACCCAACCACCACACTCAGGAGACGGGGCCTGGGAGGGAGGCAAACCCTCCTTCTTCATAAAAGCATCATTTCTGGGCAGAGGGGTTTGAGACCTTCTTTAGGGGCTTGATGGCTCCTGGGAAAAAGGGAATCCAGATACAGAAAGAGCTTAGCAAAGGCAGCCTCACCCTGCAGACCGGGCAGGGGGTGCAGCCAGATGGCTGCTGGGGCACGTGGCCTGCTGACCTCCAGGGCAGGGGCAGGGCCAGCCGTGTCCACACAGGCTTCAGGACAGGAAGTGGCTGGCGTTGTTCTAAGAAGCTGAGGGCACGGCTGAGACCACAGTGGAAATGGCTCCTGGGGAAGGCACCAACTCGTTCCCACCCACTCAAAGGGGTCAGCTTTGGGGTTTTCCCTTCTCTTCAATATGAAGGGCCGAGGGAACACCTCAGCTACTGACCCTCAGGGCCCCGCGGGGCTGACTGGGGGAGGTGGGAAATACATGTTGATTTGGAGGAAGCACATGGATATATCTTTGGTAGCTTCAGGGAAGGCTTTGGCCCTTGAAATCGCCCCCTCCCTCTTTCCCCCGGGACTGTGGGGGTGGCATTGAAAAGGCAGGTAGGAAGAAAAGAGAAGAGGCGGGCACAGGCAGGAAGAGCTAATCCGACCAGTCGTCCTCGTCAAACTCGGAGGAGTCGTCTTCGGAGTCGCTGTACTCGACGGCGATGCGACGCGACAGGATGGTGGCCACGTCGTTGCCCACCACGTCCCGCTTTTCCTGCTCCTGCTGCTCCTCCACCCGGCGCAGCTGGAAGCCTGCGGAGAGGCAGAGGGCCCGGAGGTGAGTGGCCTCAGAATCCATCCAGGCCTGAGGCAGGGGGAATGGCCATGGGCTGGTGGAATATGGGAGAGGAAGGAAAAAGAAGGATGCTCTCGGAAAGGAGGAAGAAAAAAAACAAAGATGGAGGTTGATAAAACGGTGGCCCTGGTGCCAGAGGGGTCTCTGAAAGGAAGTTGCCATCTTCCCCTGTCAGCTCTCAGGCTAGTAAGGGTCCCACTCCGCTAGTGGGGACTGGCCACCACACCCCACTAGTAGCACACGGTCTGCCCGATTCATCATTACCACAGAGCTCAGCTGCCCTAGGCTGTCTCCTCTAGACAATCCTCCAAGCAGAAGGAACCACTCCAGCCCCGGGTATCGAGCCTGGCTTCTGACAGAGAGAGTAAATGCTCCATGAGGGAGGGGAAGAGAGAGGGGAGAGGTGACAAAAGAGGGAGGAGGCAATGGGTGAGGAAGAGGGGAAGAGAGTAGGCAGGAAGGGGATGGAAGGCGAAAAGGTGAAGGACAGGAATGACTGAGTTCAGTGGAACAAGTACCTCCAGGATGTGATTCTGGTTCTCTGGGGTACAAAATGGATGCAAACAAACACAAAGCACACATTTTCAAGAAATTCAAAGATCTCAGGTTAAGAATTCTTCCCTTTTGCCGAAACCGGTTTGGCTCAGTGGATAGAGCGTCGGCTTGGGGACTGAAAGGTCCCGGGTTCGATTCCGGTCAAGGGCATGTACCTTGGTTACGGGCATATCCCCAGTAGGGGGTGTGCAAGAGGCAGCTGATCGATGACTCTCTCTCATCGATGTTTCTAATTCTCTATCTCTCTCCCTTCCTCTCTGTACAAAATCAATAAAATATATATAAAAAAAAATTCTTCCCTTTAAACCACGTGAAAGAAATCCAAATCCCCCTATTTTTAGGGTGAAGTCTTTCTTTGGGCTGATTCTAGGCCTGAGGTCCCATCTCTCCCCATCCAATGAAAGCTCCTCCCTGGGAAGGGCACAAACCCCTCACCCACCCTCCACCGGTCATCCCAGCTGCAGAAAGACAGTGCTCCCTGGTCTGGGACCCACTGCTGCATTTACCTTGGCGGATGGCCGAGAGCAAGTCACTGCGGGCGTCGCTCACAGGAGGCAAGGAGGACTTGGACTTGGGTGCGTCAGAAGGCGGCGGCGGTGGTGGTGCGGCAGGCTGGCCATCTGCGCCGCCATAGAAGAGAGGAGGCGGCCCAGGAGGAGGAGGAGGGGGGGGAGGAGGAGGTGCTCCTCCGGTTGATGGGGATAAGGGAAGTGGTGGCGGGTAGTCAGCCGCCGGCGGTGGGGGAGGAGGGGGAGGGGCAGCAAAATCGGGGTGAGGTGGGAAAGAGGGCGGTGAGGGTGGCGGTGGGGTCACCGGGGACCCAAGTCCTCCAGGTGGAGGTGGAGGAGGCACGTTGATCATCGGAGGCGGAGGCGGAGGGGCCGAGGGCGGCGCGTAGCCGGGTTTGAGGCCCAGTGGGGAGCCCAGAGGAGGAGCTGGTGGTGGGTGGCTTGGGCTGACCACACTGGATCTTTTGGGTCCAGCTAAGCCAGACGCCCTCTGGTTGTTGTCTGCTGGGTAGCTAAAAGGACAAATAAAAATACCCACCATCACTTTCAGGATGCAAATACTATCCATGGTTAAGCTACTCTATAAGCCTAGATTTATTTTGGTTGATTGTATCATTTCATTTTGGTTCAAATAGGAAAAAAAAAAAAAAGGGAGTAGTTAAAACAGACCAATATCAAACGGGCTGTCTTGTAAAGTAATGAGCTTCCTTCCCATTAGCAGAGGAGTCTTAAGCAGAGATTGAGAAAAACTACCTGAAAGAAGTAAACTTGGGATCAGATAAGGGCAAGCCAAGATCACTTCCTGGTTCCCCTCAAACTTTTAGTTCTGCGAGAAAAGGCACTCTCCTGACACCTCCCACCCCCGAAAGGAATGGCCAGTTTATTTTATTGATTTTTCACAGAGAGGAAGGAAGAGAGAGAGCTAGAAACATCAATGAGAGAGAAACATCGACCAGCTGCCTCTTGCACACCCCCTACCGGGGATGTGCCCGCAGCCAACGCACATGCCCCTGACCAGAATCAAACCTGGGACCCCTCAGTCCGCAGACCGACACTCTACCACTGAGCCAAACCGGTTTCAGCAGGAATGGCCAGTTTAATCCTAGAGCCAGGACTACAAAGGATGCAAGAAAGAACTGGAATAAAATTCAACCACCGCCCGCCCGCCCTCCGTTCCTCAGGTTATTGACATTTACTCCATCCTGTGAGGCAGGAAACGCCAGCCACGCTGACCAAACCTGAGGGGCACAGACTTAGGCAATGGTACTTTCATGTTCATGCGCAAACACCTGAGAGAGGAGGAGGGTCTGAGGGTCCGCGGAGACAGGAAGTGGATGTGCCACCAAACTTGGCCCCGGCTGAGAGAGGGCTAAGCTGCAGCTCACCCGGTTTGCTCTGCTCGGCTGCAGGCTCTCAGGGCTTCCTTTCCTCCTTTGTATTTGCCCTGTGCTAACAGCTACTTCTGAGAAAAGCTGCCATTTACCACAGACCTTCAAGCCTGAGCTGCACCTGACAGGACAGCCGGCAGGAAGTGATTTGGGAGGCAGAGATTTGGGATTAGTGGTTTCAAGAGCCAGGAAGAACGGGGCGGGTGGGATGCTTAGAGCATCTGCTTTAGGTTTCCATCTGAGGGTCCTCAGCACATCCAACCTCTGTCTGACAGAGTCCGAGGAGAGACGTGAGCCAGGCACCGAAAGGGAAGAGTGATGGACTGAGGAAACAAACCGAACACTCCTCCGAGCCCGCCAGCCACGACTTGCTAACCCTTCCCCTGCATGTCTCTGCCAGGGACACGGACGAGCATAAAAATGAACAGATTTTAACTATCATCTCTCCGTCCCTTTGTTTCATTCTTTCTGGAGAGTCTATCTAACAGGGAAATGAACCAGAAGCAACAGAAGAAAAAAGTGACTGTCTGCTAAGTTCCTAGATAACCGGACAAGATGTCATAAATAAATATTTTATGGGCGGTAAATATACCACTTCGATTCAGGCGGGGTGATAGCTAAGGAACATGCCAGAGGTGAGTCTGGGGACTCCTATCTCTCCAGGGGCAGGCAGTAGTAAAGAACACAGGCTCGGGAGTCCGGCTGACCTGCTTTCAATCAGGTTGGACTCTGCCTCTTGCTGGCTCAGTGACCTCAGGTAAGTGCACTGACCTCTCAGCCTTCTCAGTTACTCACCTGTAAAATGGGCTCCTATCTCAAGAGGATTCTTGTAGGAATTTAATAACATATACTGTTTGGTATAATGCCTGACCCCTTACAAACGCTTAATACATGTTAAGTATTTCTATTATCTAGATAGATTTGCCTGAACCTATTTTAGTGCTCCTGGCCTGGATTTGGAACTCTTATTTTGTTCTTGAGTTTCTAACCATTCAGAGTAGATGGGAAAGGTACCACCATTTACCTGAAGTCTGCTGGCGGCGGAGGTAAGCTCTCCTCAGAGAAGGAAGAAGGCAGAGAGGTGGAGTCTGACTGCGGTGGTGGTGGGTAGCTGCTTACATCCATGTTTTCAACAGAACCGATGCTACCATTCTGATACACCATGGTGGGCGGATACCTGACAATGAACCCAACACAAAAACTCACTTAAAAATCTGGCCAGAGTGGCTTACTTGGTTGGTCCTCAATCCACATCAATGTTTCTCTCTTCAGCTTCTTCCTTCTTCTCTCTCTCAAACTCAATTTTAAAACTTTTCTAAAAACTCTGAGTGATACTCCCATTAAAAAATTTTTTTTTTAAATTGATTTTTTACTGAGAAGAAGGGAAAGGGATAAAGAGCTAGAAACACCAATGAGAAACATAGACCAGCTGCCTCTTGTACACCCCCTACTGGGGATGTGCCCGCAACCAATGTACATGCCCTTGACCAGAATCGAACCTGGGACCCTTCAGTCCGCAGACTGACGCTCTATCCACTGAGCCAAGCCGGTTTCGGCGATACTCCTATTTTTTAAAAAGACCCCACAAAAATGCATTTGATACAAAAGGTATTAAGAAAAAAATAAGTATATTTCCCATATAGTTTCTGCTATATTGAAATTTTATTTTAAGACTAAATATTCCATCGTTAGCATCTCCCAGGTATTTCTGCTGGATTGTTTGTAAGAATGGGATTCAACCCACATTATCAAAACCATGCTGTTCCTTTTTCAGTGCTGGATTTGTCGAACCCGGCAGTTCTTTTAAATTCTCTCCCGATGTTAGGAGCAGCCTATACCCGAATCCTCAAGTATGTCTGTGGCAAAGGGCAGAGCCAAGCCCCAAGGCTAATGAGCTAGTTGCAAACACGTGACTGGCACACAGCCTGGTTTTGAGGTCGGCAAGCCTCTGCAGTGCTCTAAGGCCAAGGAGGCATCTGACTGCAAAAGCAAGCTGAGGACAAGTCCAAGGTGCTGGTGGTTGTTAGATGTGGTCTCTCCGCCAGCACTCTCTTATCAATAACAAAATGAGCTGCCAATTAAAGAGGGATGCTAGGGCTTGCCTTATGAAAATCTGCCCCTCAGAGCACTGGGCTTTGGGCAAATTTGCTCTGGGTGAACAACAGCAAACCTACAAACAAGCACAAAAATACGAAGCAGCAGCTAGCTGTGCTCCCCTCCCCCACTTCCACAACAAAAGCCTCTAAAACAGACTCAGAGAGCCAGGAGGCCACCACTTTGGTTCCTGGTCAGGGCACATGCCTGGTTGCAGGCTTCCCAGTAGGGGGCGTGCAGGAGGCAGCTGATCAATGATTCTCATCATTGATGTTTCTCTCCCTCCCCCCTTCTCCCTCCCACCTTCCTTCCTCTCTCTCTAAAATAATATATTTAAACAACAGAAGTTTATTTCTAAAAAAAATAAAATTAAGTAGACCCCAAGGAGAACAGAGTTGAAGGGAACTGAATCAAATGCTGCTCTGATATGAAAAATCCCCAGGCCTGGAGCCCTGTAGTCTTGACACATCTCTTTATAGGTTCGCCAACTAGCGTGTCCAGGTAAACTAACCATGCAACCCAATTCCAAATCTCTTTGAGAACAGGGAAATGGGAGGCAAAGTTGTTTTCACCAACCCATTACACACACACACACACAAAACAACAAACCTCAACCCCACAAAATAGTAGGCATATTGCCGGGCTGGCATAGTTCAGTGGTTGAGCGTAGACCTATGAACCAGGAGGTAACAGTTCAATTCCTGGTCAGGGCACATGCCTCGGTTGTGGGCTCGATATCCAGTGTGGGGTGTGCAGGAGGCAGCTGATCAATGATTCTCTCTCATCATTGATGTTTCTATCTTTCCCCCTCTCTCTGAAATCAATAAAAAAAAAAAAAAAAAAGTATTTTTTTAAAAAAATAGAAGGCATATTCTGAACATGCAAGCTTCTGGCCTTAAGAATCACTGAACCTATGACAAGGGCCTCTCTGAACAGGATGGGACACTACAGAATGAAATGGCCCTTTTACTGGGAGGTGAAGGTAATGGAGGACCCTCAGGGCTGATTTCCCTGCAGAGAAAAAGGTTCGTTTTTCCTCTCACCATCTTTATCACCCATTAAATCAAATCTCTTAATCCAGAAAGAACAAGTGTCAGAAGTGTCAAGATTTTTAAAAGTCAAAATTTTCATGGTAGAGTTATTTCTAAAAGCAAGAACAACTCAACTCTTTCCTTTTATCATTCTTAGACGCCTGGCATGGGCTGGGCTGGATCTCGGACAGGCAGGATACAGTGTATGTGGGGAAAACCAGGATGGCATTCACACCAGGCAGTGGTGGTGACTTGACTTTGAATGTCACACAGGTTGGGCACCAGGATAAGCATCAAACCGAGCGTTGAGACCATTCTTTTTTCCTTTTAGACCTCTCGTGTAATTTGGTATTGGGAAATGGGGTCAGACTGACATCTACTATTTCTCCATGGAGATCTATAGCCTCAATCTGGCTGAGCGACCTTTCCCACACTGTCTCTGAGACCTGCTTTCAGTCCCTTGGCCAACTTCTCTCCTGAGACTGACAAAGGCGGCTGAGAAGTTGCTTTGGTGATGTGCACAGATTCCCTGCTGGGCCTTCCCCATTCCTGGGAGAGGCCCAGTGCTTAGGCACTGCCTTCAGATCACTGCTCTGGAGGCAAAGGGCTCCCAAGACCACTTTTCTTCCCCTCCCAGTCTTTCCTTTGAGGCCCTTGGTTGTACCAGTGCCTGGCGGAGTGAGGGCACTAGAAGCCGTGGTTTCCCCCCCACACCTCATTTAAACTGCTGAGTCTTGATTAACTTAGCAAATTTTAATCACCAGATGGATGCACTTTAAAGTAGTTAACAGTGATATCAATCTAAGCCATACAGCCAGCCTGCAGGGGGTGTGCAAGGTGTCACATAAAGCTGTCAGACTGAGGTCCCCACCCCTTCAAAGAACGCTACCAATGGTACAAAACAGGATCACCTACCCAGAAGGCCCCAGCTTTTCTTTGGATTCCACAAATTCTTGTCCCATCTTCATTTTCTCCCACTCTTCCTTACGTGTCTTGATTTTACGTGGGTTTATGTTACCTCGATTTGGATTATCTTTCTTTTCTTTCTGTAATAAAAAGGGACAGAAAATCCTATGTAAAACATTCTCCAATGCTCTTCTCTAAAATTCCACCCACCTCCATGGATACACACTCAATAGACACTTTACCTAGACAACATACAGTAACTACAGAATTTATAATAGAATTACTCTGCCACAAAGGCCAGCTAAGAGAGATGGGAGTCAGGATAGCTATAGCTATCCGGGGAAGATATAAGGAAATAGTTAAAACCACCAATGAGGGTTTCTTCCGCCTGTGCAGCTGAACTAGCCCCTGGCACTCTCCTGGCAGCCATGCTAACGGGAGTGTGAGGTTGCGGCTGATAGGTCATATATGCTTACACACATCACTGGAAGTCTAAGGGGAGCATCTCCTAAAACCAGGCCTACCGCCCACCTCTACTAGCCACCAGCAGTGAAGGTGTTAAACTGCTCCTGTTGCAAATCGAACACTGTGGAGCCTTGTGCTGATCTCTCAGAAATGAGCTGCAAAACTGGCAGGGAAGGGACTGGCCTAGCTTGAGTGTCCAGCAGAGTCAGGTGCAAATTGCAAGAGAAATAAATGGTGAATAGAAAAGTCAATTTCTAAAACTCAGCCTGAATATACTATTGTTAATAGTGCTGGGGGGAACAAACACAATTCTGGTGTGATTTATACTTTCATCTTGGTTGTGCTTGGAGTGGACACATTTTTTTAAGTGTTTCACCTGGCATCCAAGCAAGCAGCCACTCAGAATGATTACTTCACATAAGACTGGCTTCCTTTTTATCCCCCCTCCACAACCGTGCCTACTGATGTGTAGAACAGAGGCCCCTTTCCCCTCACCCTATGCTTTCTCTTCTCTTTCATGATATCCTTGGTGTCCTGCAGCATCTTCTCCTTCCAAAGATCAAAGAAGTACGAAGGGTCTGTGTAGAATTTGAGTGCTTCTTTCCCATCGTCCCTGGGATAGAAATGAAGACAAGTAGCTGTCAGTAGACATAAGAGCTCCTAACCAAATCCAATATTCCAAATACTTACCAGTTAGCAGTTTTCACACTCAGGAATCAAGTCATTCAAATTGATTGCTTACTTCCTCTCCCATACCAGCGGTCCAATGCCCCTTCAACGCCACCTCCTTATTTATCTGGCTTTTAAAGAATCTTAGCCCTACCTTCAATTCCTGGTGGAGGAATTTGCATAGTCGGGGAAAAGAATGGGCTATAGCAGCAGGAAACCCGATTATTTCTAATGATTTGCATGGCCTCTGACATCTCCCTGAAGATACCCTAGCTATCAGAGGGGATTTCTGCTACTGGTTCCCTTTCCCTGCACCAATTACCCTGGCTCTCTAGGAAGCATTAGTGGCTTCCCACTCACCTGAAACCTGTGCACACATGTGTAGGTTCACATGTGTACATATACACACATCAATGTATATATGTGTGCAGCTGGTATTCCTCTGTGAAAACACATAATCACAGTACTCCAACTTCTTGCTTACTTCTATAATAGCTCAGCATCCACCCAGCACCCCCCAGCTCCCCAACCACAAGGGGGCCCTACTGAGAACAGATGGACAGATGTTTTATGACTACAATATTTAATAACCATCTCTTAGTGGCTGTGCCAGAACAGAGTGAGTGACTGAGTGTTAAGGTAAGAGTTATCTGCCAGGCTCGATGACCCTAGTGGAATCCTACACTTTGGCATAAGTCTCTCTCACTTTCCAGAAAGCATGTACTTAGGACATTTATTTTAACACTACTCTGAACTAAAAAGAACTGAAAAGGCAATTCTACATCCTGGCTTCCAATTCTATCACAACACACAAAAAGCATTTCCAAATCAAACACTGATGATTTTTTATATTAAATCTTGTTGTGTTAGCTACATCTCCACTCATTTATGTTAAGCCAAATTCAGATAACTGAAAGCATATTAAAGAGGAAAATACCTTTATTTAAAATATAAACTTGTTTTATATTGTTTATCCTATCCTACCACACCCTGTATCATACATATCACTTTGATATTCTCAGGTGTGTACTCCCACTGCCCAAATCCAACTAAATAATAGAGCAGAGTCAAATCTCTGCCCTACTATGACAGCTAGTCCCTTTGGAAGTCAAGGGACACGTATAATTTCACACAATAAAAATATACGATAGATGCCAGATGCTTTCTCAATATCTGTGTCAGAAGCTACCATGCTCCTATCCCAGGCTCCCTGGACCAGCAGGTGTCCTTGATTCCTGCGCACTGGTACCCACCCCCACGTTCCTCTGTGTAGTACACCCATGTCTCACAGAAGATACTGCCTCCAGCTAGCTGTAATTACTTTTTACCTGTTCCAAAGATATTTATGGATGCAAGCAGTATAAATATTTGCCTTCTGTCCTGCTCAGTGGTTACTTGCAGGATAACATTACCAGACCCTTAGAGGGGAAGGGCTACCTTCTTCTTTAAAGTCCAGCCACGGCAGTGCAGTTCCTTTCCGAGGGGACTGTTCAACAAGTGAGCAATACTCATTTGGAACAATGCCCGTCACTCCATAAGCTTTGGGAGGCCCCCCAGGGCCCAGAGCAGCCCGTCCACAAGGCCGGCCCCATGAAAACACCCCAACATCTGGTAAGCTAGTGGTTTCTGAGTAACTGGGAGCCTTGCTCGAATGTTGCCCCTGGGATGTACTACAGGACTGCCTTGTAACAAAGTCCTTTTGGTTCTAACATAACTAAATTCCTTGGATGGAATCCAAGATGGATCTGCTATATCAAACTAAACTTGTGGCATACAAGAATATAGCCAACTTTCAACGTATGAATTTCAGAAACCAAACAAGAATAAGTGACCACTGCTTATGTGATGATGTTAGTTTCTGCTGCCACAAGAACTCGGGGGTAGGTGGTGAGCTTTTTGATGCAATTCTCTGACGTACACAAATCTTCAAATAAGAAGACAACCTAATGTTGTTAGCCACAGGTCAGAGAGAGGCGGTGCTGGCCGGGTTACCTGTAAGGGGTGAGGTTGTTGAGAGGCGGAGGGGTATCACACGTGTTGTATGTTTCCAGGACAGGCACAGGCAGAGAGTTTCTGTCAAAAAGCTTCTGGTCCTGAACGGTAGAGCTTTTGAAGGCCTTTCGGGTGTTGATTCCTTGCAGCGACACTGAGAGAAGATGGAGGCATTAGAAAATGGACGACAGGCTATCTGAGCAAACACTGAGTCACGCCAGCCGGAGAGGCCTCAGCTGCTCCATTTCTTGGCCGCGGCTATCTGCAGCCAGGCTTCTTTCCTCCCCCTCTGGGGAAGCCCCACAGGCTGTCAGCAGCCCAGCCATTTCAGGCCGAACAAAATGAGGCAACACAAAGGTTTACTATGTGGCCAGATCTAGCAGGCCTCTCCTGAGGAGGAATGAATCTTCCAAGTACTTTTATGGTAGCAGAGTAAGATTGGGGGAGGGGAATCCGAGAAAGAAGGAATTGGGGGAATGGGAGAGGGAGTGTGTGGGAGTGTGGGAGAGCTAAAAAGATTTCTCTATGCCACCCAAGCTTGTGCTGCTTCAAAGCAGAACTCCATAGGTTTCTGTGATTTCTCCTCTCACTTTTTTTTTTTAACAAATCAGGAAAAAAATTATAAGAAACTGCTCAGCAGAGCCTGCAAATGCTGAGCTCAGCTGCCTTACCTTCTTCTTCCTTGGGATCCAGCTGAGTGACTTTAACTTGTAGGCGGTCAATCCTCTCAGCAAGGGAGCTTACCCGAGAGGCAAAGGAATTTGCCTGAGTGAAGAGCTCTCCAAAAATGTCCTCTGCATATTTACCTGCACGAACAAAGAAGCCAGCTCATTAGTGCATGAAAGTGACATAAATGGTCAGAAAAACTGGCTACTAAAGACCATCTTCCCCACCTCCGAAAGAGCCTTCCCTCCCTCCGGATTGTTTGGGTTATATGCAGACGGTTGCTCCTGGAGACAGAGACCCAGCCTCCATAGCTGGGCACTCTGCATATGTCCTACAACTTAGGCTTCTTGGCAAACAATGAACAGTCACAAAACTCAAAGCAATCTGAATAAAACTGAAAGGTATAATACAAAAAATGAATCCTGGAAGGGTAGGCAATATGTCTACACCTTTGCCTATAGCCCTTAACCCCTTGCTACTCTGTAAAAGCACCTGGAAAACAGACGGGAAGTTAGAAGGACTTTCTAGGTGTCTACAATTAACATGAAAACAAGACATTACATCCTCAGTGGAGCTTTAAAAGTGCATTGAACAATCATGATGAGTAGTGGTATCTTCGAGGAGCTTTGAACTTACCAGCAACGCGCAGCAGAGACTTACAACTTCTTTTAAGGGGTGAAAAGCTTATTCTGTGTTTTATAACCTACAGTTCTGCAAGTCTTTGCTCTAGGTTATAATCCTTCAAATCCACATCTCAGGGAAAAAGTGAAAAGCTAAAACTTTCAAGCCCTCCAGGAAAAAACAGCATACCAGCGGTCTCTTTTCACAAGGTCTTGTTTTTAGAAAAAGAAAAGAGTTCCATCAATTTCTGTACTTTCAACCCTGGAATGCAAGGAGAATTTGCAGCCAGAGAAACACAAGAGCAATGTGACGCTACCTTCATATCGTCACTCCAAGCCACAAAGCACATTCTTGCTAGGAACGAAAAGTGGTGCATATAAATAAATGTACCATCTGAGTTTCTTTTGCTTTCTTTCTTTTCTTTTTTCTTTTTCTTTTTACAGAGAGGAAGGGAGAGAGATAGAGAGCCAGAAACGTCGATGAGAGAGAAATACCGACCAGCTGCCTCTTGCATCCCCCCCCCACTGGGGATGTGCCCGCAACCAATGTACATGCCCTTGACTGGAATCGAACCTGGGACCCTTCAGTCCGCAGACCAACGCTCTACTGCTGAGCCAAACTGGTTTCGGCCCATCTGAGTTTCTTATTTGTACTATGGAGGCAGGCATAAGTAACCATGTTCTACCAAAAGATAATTTCTTTGAGAACTATTCAAAATGGACCCTGATTTTTAGGTTCTAAACTTCATTTATGCCTAGTCCACACTCGGGGGTGGGGGGACAGTCCAAAACTGCACCTTCAGGGTGAACTGTAGTTCACCTTCCCGGTGTAACCTGGCGAATAAGGATGAGACTAATCAACTGCATATTATGAACTGCTGGTAAATTTAGTCAATAAGGAGTCTCTAATCAAGGAAAGGAGCAAGTCTTTGCATACTGAACGGTTTTGTGATCTAAACAGCTCTGGGGAGCTCCTGGCTCAAAGGACTCAAACTGGCTGACAAGCTCAAAACCACACTGTATCCTGCTCATCCAGGTAACAGGAAATTGTAAGTGTAAGGCTAAAGCAGAGAAACATGCAACATTATGTGTGGAAAATAAACCAGGCTCAGAAATATTAGTTGTCCATCCAGCTGTTCTGGAAGAAAAGAAAACCCCAAATTAACTTATCTTTAGGCCACCATGCGAGTACCTGGGATTTCCTGCTCCTCGGTGAAGGGAGCAGTGATAGAGGGAGTAGAGGCTTACTGTGTGGCACGGTGGTTTTCAAGATAAAAATCTTACAAAGAAACCCAACATATAAAAATGGCAACACCGAGAATGCTATTTGAAGAGAAAGTGAGGTGGTGTGAAGGCTCCCCCCCTCACATTCCATCAGGCCCAAGGTATGCTTAGAACTACAAGATGATAGATCGTGGAAGCAGTGGTCCTCAAACCAGAAAATTTAAGTCTGTTTCTTTCTGTTTATATCTGTGCACTCTTCAGCAAATCACAATCTCTCAGCTTCAGTTTCCTCATCTGTAAAACAGGGCTAACTGTATCTACCTCACCAAGTTGTCACAGGATTAAATGTAAGTTGTTACAATGAGATTCTTCCTTATATTACTCAACCATATCAGATGACTTTTAAGAGTGTGAATATCTAAAAGTCTTGTATGTTTAGAAGAAATTTAAAATATAATTCCAGTCAGTTATTTGATAGTCCCTATTCTTCAAGTACTAAAAATTACTTCACCTATAGGAGAAAGCCAGCGTGCCTTGTTCAGAGTTACAATACATTTCACTCATTCAAATTACTCACTATCACATCGGGACATTCATAATGGACATCATGTTTTGCAAATCAGTCATCATTTTTCTCCCTTTGCAGTAGAACTCTTCAAACTAAATATTACATGGAGTTGGAACAGGTAAAACTGAGTTGTTAAAAAATGTGAAGCTACTCGTGTTGAAGCCTGAGTGGGACTCTTGAAGCACCTCCCTCCCCAGATGGCGTGACCCCAGTACACTTGGTTATTAAAGTCAACATCACAAAGTCAGCATTTCTTAATGACCCAAATGGGGTGGCACTCTCCTGGGTGGTCAAAGTGCTGGCTGGCTGGCTGTGTCTTTATTTCCTAAGATATAGCAACCTAATACGTGAAATACCAATCTCACTGCACTAAGAGAAAACACGAATTCTGGATATGCTATCACAAAGCAATCGCAGCTATGGAATTTTACTTTTGTGCCTTATCCATTCCATCATCACACCTTCCCTACGAGACGGAGCACTTCGGCTGCAGCACACACAGGAGGCCAAGACCACGAGTTTGAAGCACATTCCTGCTCCCTCTCTGGGAGGTGAAATCCCGGCATCTGCCAAGGTCTGGTTTAAAGGTAACCTCTTCTGTGCAGCCTTCCTTGACCCTGCCAATCCCCAGCTGTGTGCCCACGCCTATAGGTAGTATTCCTTCCTTCCTTGTATTCACTGTGCACCAACAGCATAAGGTGGTGGAGAGAATACAGGTATGAATCACTCAACAAACATTTACTGAGCTTCTACTGGGTGCCAAGTATTCTATTCAATATATAAGACAGATACTGACTGGGGTTCAAGGACAAACAACAATGATTTCTGCCTTCAAAGAACTTTTAAGATGTATAATTTTCCATCTAATGTGACAGGTAATAATACAGGCAAGTAATAGGAGCTCAGCTCTCAGGGTGGCAAGGGCTCTGAGGTAGGGGAACAGCCAGGGGACTGGATGAAGGTGTGAATATGCTCTAAGAGACCTACAAGGAGTTGATCATTCTTTCTTCCTGCCTTCTGCCCCCTCTTTTTTCCTTTTAAATCCTTTAAAAAGACTGTTACATAGGAGAAGATGGACTGCAGAAAATGAGGCTGGAAAGGAAAGCAGGACTTGAAGAGTCTTTAATGATAACAGACCAAGGAACCTTTTAGGTAATTCCACAGGGAGGTACAGGGGAGATAAATAGTTAACATTTGTACTCTTAGTTTAAAAACACTTTTTAAATTACAAAAGTTAACACAGCCTCAACTTCTAAAAATTCAAACAACTCAGAATTATAAAAGTAAAAAGCGATGTTTGCATTTTGGATAGATGACTGTGGCAGGGGTATAGGCTTAAGATTTTTAGGTGTATAGATTGAGGGGTTGATCAGAGAAAGGGAAACCAGAAGGAGGAAAGGGCAATAGTTTAGGTGAGAGTCAACAAAGGTCTGAACCAGCCCTAACCGGTATGGCTTAGGGGATAGAGTGTTGGCCTGTGGACTCAAGAGTCCCAAGTTCGATTCCCGTCAAGGGCATGTACCTTGGTTGTGGGCACATCCCCAGTAGGAGGTGTGCAGGAGGCAGCTGGTCGATGTTTCTCTCTCATCAATGTTTCTAACTCTCTATTCCTCTCCCTGTAAAAAAATCAATTAAAAAAAATTTTTTTTAAAAGGCATGAACCAGGGCCCTACTGGCAGAGACAGAGTGCAGGGGACTGAGATGAGAAATCCTTGATGAGCAGCGATATCTTCAAGGAGCCTTGAACTTAGCAACTCACAGGAGAGACTGACTTGCCTCTTACTGGCTGCTGTCTCTCTAGGCAAGTTATCTTACTTTTCTGAGCCTTCATTCCTTCTTCTGAAAAAACAGAAGTATCATCTATTTTTACAGGATTATTGAGAAGATTAAATGAGATAATCTATGTCAAGATCCTATTAAAACATGGCATAAAGTAGGCAGTCAACAAATATGACTTTCCTTCTCACCCTCTCTCCATTCTCCCTTTAAGATTTATTTATTTCTGTCTCCTCTGGTAGATTATAAGCTCCTGGAAGGCAGAGACCATTTCTTTTCTTTCTTTTTTTAAAAAAAATTTTTTTTTATTGATTTCAGAGAGGAAGAGAGAGGGAGAGAGACAAAAATATCAATGATGAGAGAGAATCACTGATCGGCTGCCTCCTGCACGCCCCCTACGGAGGATCAAACCCAAACACAGGCATGAGCCCTTGACCAGAATTAAACCCGGGACCCGTCTGTCTGCAGGCCGATACTTTATCCACTGAGCCAAACCGGCTAGGGCCAGAGACCATTTCTTATTGCTGTATCCCCTCAGCACTGAACATAAAGCGTGTTCAATAGTTGTTTATAGGATAAATAAAACGTCATTAGCTCCATGATGTAAGGAAATCCTGTTTCTGTAGGCACAAGCTGATCCTGGCCCTCAGATCGCTTCCTTAAGATAGGAGCGGTCTGATTACAGATGGGAGTGAGCAATGGCATCCATCAACGCTACCCTGAAAAACACCTGAGAGAGCACAGCTCTTGCTGAGTGCGAATAAGCAGCATCGTTAGCTAGATGTCCTTTGTCCTGTGACGAAGGAACCCGTGTGTGATTGCCTTCCACCCATTTGGCCTTCTCAGGGTGACAGAAGCAGGAATGATGCTTTTAAGCACAGCGAGGCATTCTGCAGCTTTCATGTGCTTCCTTGTCAGCTGCACTGCTGTTGCGCTGCTGTCAACGTTCCTTTGTGTAAGACAGGCATCGACAGCGCTTCGTTTCCTCATGACGCCCATCCAGGCTTCCCTAAGACCCGGATCAACCTCGATGGCCTCTGAGCGAGGTGAAGGCTTAGGAATCGCAGACCCCATCTATCATCGGGTCACTGAGCTCTGTCTCCTCAGGCCCCCATTTAAAGGCAGGGTCTATTGCTATCTGGGGGAATGCAGGCTTTCTGTTCCACTGCCTTTACTAAGGACAGTGATTTGACAGGAGGGGTGAATTCTGAAATAACTCACACCAAGATGCCTTTGCTGAGGAAGACCACTGAAATGTCATTTTGATGGCGGTTCTTAAGGGAGGCTGAAGTGGCACTATACAAACGCACAGCCTTCCCAAGCATCTGCCCTTCCCATACCTCAACTTCAAGCAAACAAAGTCAGCCTGATTCCGAATGAAATCCAAACCACATGTATGTACCCCACCCAAGGCAGTCTCATTCATTCTTGCCAATTAAAAAAAAAAAAGATGCAGTTGAGCTGGCTTTCCCTCAGCTCCAGACTGGACTACACCCTCCCCCACATCCTCCTGGAGAAGAATGGCTCCAGCTACAATTTGGGTCACTGTGTGTTCACGCAGCTTGCAAAACTCCCAACACCCCAGAGATTGCAGAGTCATTTGTACCCTGAACTTGGACCTGGGGGCTTGCAGCACTATTAAATGTGTACCGGGGTAGACAGGTCAGCCAGAAGCTCTCCGAGTGCATGTTTGCTTTCCTCCTCTTTGGGAAGCAGGGGGTGGGGGAGGTCGGGGAGATGTGACTATTGGCACATCCGAGGCTACATTGAACAGTTCGTGCAATCACAGGCACATTCCCCAACCCAAGACACGGTTCTGTGAACCTCCCACTTTACACGCAGAATTCTGCTCTGTCATTCCATCTGCAGTGTCTGCTGCAGCCCTTCCTGCCGCCCTTCCTACGGGTTTCTTTAGAAGCAGGTGGAGAGGGAGCCTGGAGGGCGGTGGCAGAGGAAGGAAGGGCTGAGGGGAAGCGTCTGTACCAAAAAGCAGCCTCTCTTTGGGAGAGGGGGTGGGACACATTTTTGCATTACCTAGGGAGGGCAGATGGGGGAGAAATAGTTACACAGGAGGGAAGGGAACTAAATAAAGAGCACCAACGACCCCTGAGGGCAAAGCACAGGCTCTCTGCGGCACTCACTCAGGCTGCCCAGCTGTCGGATGACATTTGCCAGGGTGATGTTGGTCACGCATTCCAGCTCGCTTCTAACACTAGGCAACGTCTGCCGGCACAGGTGCCTTGGCTCGATGTTCCTCGTTACTAACGGCATGGTGGACCCGCTTCAGGCAACGTTCTGAATGATGAAAAACAACCTAAAAAAGAAATAACAGGAAAGTATTACTCAACCACAAATTCCAGGCACACTAGGGCTGTGTAGGTCTTTTTGTTTTGCTCTGATCTAAAACAGCTTTAAAAAATCTTCTCTCTCCCTATTCTTTTTTTTTTTTTTTTTAAGAACCCCCTCAACACCTCCCCCAACCACCACCTTTTTAGGGTTTGGTAAAGGATTGCTGGATAAGTGCAGAAATTCTGCACTGGTGACTGCTGGGTACTACAGACAGCATAAAAAAACAAACAAACAAAAAAAAACCTTAAAACAACTATGCCCAAACCAACAAGAATCTCCAGAGGCAAGGAGTTATGGTCAGAAAAGAGCCCATTTAGCAGATTCTAGAAGGTACAGATCCTATTCTTGGGGTGTCCACGGCAGATCAGATTCCAAATGATCAATCATAAGGATCAAAAAAGAGCTTTTGTCATCTGATAATCTCATCTCCACAGTGAAATTCAGTTGCCAATAGTGATTCCATGGATCTACATCAGGACATAATTTCTCCAGCTCTTCCCTGATGGATGACTGCTAATGCACAACTAAATACTAGCTGCCAGTATCTCTTAGCACTACGGAAGTTTACTAGTCTGTAAATTGACAGAAAGAGTATTAAGGAAAAATTTACATGTTCAATATGTCAAACACGATACCGAGCACACTGTGCTTTAGGATCCCCTGGTCCCTTTTATTCCACCCAGCAGTCCCCTCTCCCTCCCATCTGGCTCAGCACACCTGGGCCAAAGGCTCTTGAGACAGCAGGAAGTGTCTGGAGCAGATCTGGAAACCTTCCAGGTACTGTTTCTTATCCTGCCCGCCCTTTCCCTAGGAAATCCCCCAGCTTCGGGTTCATTTTGAGCTATTGTTTTAGAGTTAGATTACCAAACTGCTAGCTTTACAAGGATAGAAGCCGGTTTTAGTTTCAACAAAATGCATATGACTACAGCCATGGCACACTGGGCTGTTGTATTATTTCCCTATTTTGTAAAACTAAAGCTATCCCAAACAGCCCAGTGACTTTCATGCTAGGGAAAATAAAAAGGCAAAACATAAAGGCAACATACCCAAGTCCCCAATATTGCAAACTCCTCTTAAACAACAACAACAACATAGTAAAAGAGAGGTTTACTTACATCAAATCTTATAACACCAGTTCATCACCAAAAAGTTGATTGTGAATGCAAAACGTTTAAAACAAACTAAATATCAGAGATCTTAAAAGTGAACCAACATACTGTCCAACCAAAAGTTTTTTAAAAAGCCCTTCAGGTTCAAAGGGGGAGTCGAAGCCTTGGGAACAGACTGCTCCTTGTTATGGACATTCTGATCTGCTAAGAGTAAAAATAAAACAGGAAGCCAGCAGCTTGGGGAACAAGGTTTCCTGTCACCAACAGCAACAGCCCAAGAACCAAGAGAATCAGCTGTTTGCTCATAACTCTGAAGCTCCCTTTAATAGGCACTGAGGCAGCTGTGCCTATCTTTGGGGTGCAGAGGTGTTTCCTGAATATTTGTCTACTAAGGAAATAATTTTCATTCCGTTCCTCTGCAAAGTTCCCCTTTGACTCAGTAGGTTTTCTAACCCTAACTCTGGACTTTCCTTCTAGTCTAATTCTCCTCCTCTTTTACTTAATGGAAAGGGTTTCGGGTTCTAAGATGCCATCATTAGTAATTCATGGAGAAAAGAAAGTTTAGAACAGCAAAGGAGGCAGGAGGCTGCAAATAAAAGAACCTCACAGGGCTCTGCACACCACCCTGGGGATGCCCTTAGACTTCCATATTTCAAGCTTTCTGAAAGAACCAGAAATTCAACGGTGCAGTCAGAGATGATTGAAAACAGCCACTGTGGTTCCCCCCATTAGCAATAATTTCAGTCTTGTTCCAGCTTCTCAGAGGAGCAAAAAGAGCCAAATCTCCTTGAAATTCTGTGTTGAATGTGGCCATTGACAGGGCATTCCAGAAGTTCTCTCTGAACACCTAATAGGAACTGGATTCCAGATGCCTAGGTGAATGCCAGATTGGGAAGGCAGGGAGTGAGGGGCAGCTTCTAAGGCCTCAGTTCTTTAGCATTTATGCTTTCCCACGTGCTTCGGGTAAGCAGACACAAAGAGTCAATTCTGTCACCTGGGTTGGATTTACCTAAAACCAAAATTTCAATAGCAAGATGGCTTTCTCTTGCCAAAAAAGCCAGCTCCTATAACCAGCTAAAGAGTACTCAAAAAAATGGCAGCACATACGCTAAAACTGGACCGATACAGAGAAGATTAGCATGGTCCCTACGCAAGGATGACACGCAAATTCGTGAAGCATTTCATATTAAAAAAAGAAAAAGAAATGACAATATGTAAATAACCACCAAGACAAAACAATTAGAAAAGTATATCTGCTACTTAAAAAGTCATTCAGTATGTTTCAGAGCCACCAAAAAGAGACAAGAGTCCCTGTTATATGGAACGACCTGCATCACTGCTTACTTCTGTTTTGGATAATCAAGGTTAGTTATGTTTTGCATACAAAGTATGGAATTATTCATGATTTGAACCACAATAATAATTTGACTACAAAAAAATAAATCCTACCTTCTGGTGAAGATAAACTTAGAAATGGGCAAAGACTTTTAGGTTCTTGACTCTCAACTCAGTTTCAAGTTGTAGAGTTGAGACATTCTGGGTTAGAACACTGACTGACTAGCTGTGTGATCTTGGGCAATTTCCCTAGAGATAGTAAGTAATATAGCGTATATAAAATGTCCACTTCAGGGGTAAAAAATGTAGTTATTTGTAGTTCTACGAACCCTGGGAAAATGTTCCTGGAAAATCAACTTTTTCATTAATAAATATTTTTTTTTTTAAATATATTTTATTGATTTTTCACAGAGAGGAAGAAAGAGGGATAGATAGTTAGAAACATGGATGAGAGAGAAACATCGACCAGCTGCCTCTTGCACACCCCCTACTGGAGATGTGCCCGCAACCAAGGTACATGCCCTTGCCCGGAATCGAACCCGGGACCTTTCAGTCCGCAGGCCGACGCTCTATCCACTGAGCCAAACCGGTCCCGGCTCATTAATAAATATTTTACAACATTTTAAACCCTGGATTTATTATGTAGTAGAATGCAATGTGACATACATGTAAAGATGACACACATTTAAAAATGAAATTCGGTGGGTTTGTTTTCTGGAAGAGTCATACTTCTGGTCCTACTGAAGAACTTATCTCTCTTTCCTCCACTCTTTCATACTGGGCTCCTTATCTGAACCACAGAACAAAAAAGTTATTCCAGAGGCTCTTTTATCAATTCTCCTCAAGACTGTACATAACTAGCACCATTCCAGATGCATTGGAGAAAAGTAACACATTTACATATAATGGATGTCTAATGATATCGGGGATTAATTCTCTCATGGAAATCCAGCCGCGAAAGGCTCCTCTATCATCAGTAGTCACTTAGTGGAAAATTTCTGAAGCACAGAGGGCTAAGGAACCACTGAATTAAGGAAGTTAACACGATCATATTTGCATTTTGGACAAATCATTCTAACAGAAGCAAAGAATTTACATTTGGGCACGAGAAGGCTGGAGGGAAACTTCACAGGCTCAGAAGGAGACAACAGACAGGTTACAGGGGTGAGTTCTGCTACCAAAACTCCTGGGAGTTTGTACAATTAGACTCACAAAGTGATAAAATGTAGGTGTGTTTTTTTAAAAAAAGTTTCATGGGAAGAGCTAAATGCTAGGGCCAGTCACAGAAAAGAAGAGAAAGTGAAGAAAACCAAGAAAATAGCGATTCATAGCTCAGAAAAGAAGTTTTAAATACATGAAAGAATATAGAATGCCATGTTTTTATAGAATCAATGTAGTTCTTTTTCAGTTCTACTTTGATTAAGAAAAGTATATGCTATAGTGATATTGGCTAATTTGGGGGTTTGAGGTGGTCTTACCTTGGGGGATGTTACATGGGAAAGGAATTAAGTTAGAACCATTGAGAAGATAAAAGTTGGAGAAAGAGATTTCAATTCCGTTAGTTCCTTTTCATTACAGCTGTCCTCTCCTTACAAATTATGATTCCCCAGACCATCCTCTGGGTGAGCAGCTGTCGGGCATTTTAGGGGAGACATTCCTAGATGTTCATGTTGACAGGGCAGAATGGATGACTTTACAATGCCTTCTACATTAAAGGCAATTCTCACTCTGTGCTACTGTTTCCTCATCTGCAAAATAAAAGGACTAAGCTAGATGCTCTTTCAGAAGCTCTAAAATTGAATTTGCTTCTGCCTAACCTGCCATAACGTAGCTAACCTTCACTTGCATTCTGAAGCAAAGTCAGTGGCAGGTTTAGGTGAATCTTGGCCATGAATCAAGCCCTTCTCCAGTCTAGATTCACCTAGTTACCAGAACCTGCAGGATCCAGAATGGGCCCAAAGAATGGTTCACACAGAGTCCCGAGGTTCAATTATTTACACCCTGGGAGGCTCCCAGACCAATTTAGAAGTTGGCTCCCCATAAAAGTAAAAAAAAAAAAAAAAAAAAGCTTTGGGCCAGTTCTAAACATCCAGCCAGGCTCAACAGCAAACCCCATCTTTACCCCTGACTATTTTCAGCCTAAGGGACTTGAGAATGAGAGAACAAAGAAAAGACTCAGGCATTCCTTAGCCAGGGCCTGGCAGTATAAAGCAGCGATGTCCAACCTTTCCATTTCACATAAAACTCTACGGACTGGGACAGGAGTGGGAGGAGGTGAGAAGCTGGAATTGGTAGGATGGAAGAAGGTAATAAAGGAAGACTGCATTTGAGAGGGGAGGAAGCATTTGTAACCCATATTCTGAATTCCTGTTACTAACAGGACAGAAGACAGATGACTGCTCATCCCGGCAATGATGTTTATTATAAATAAATAAACATTCCATTTAGATAGCATTATATTTCTATAGTCACATCCTAAAGCAAGTATATCTGAGCTATACCAGGAACCGTAACAACAGAAATGCCTTTCAAGGCAGTTCCTTTTTGACACATACCTCCAAAGAGCTGACCAGCAATAGCAGAGGGCGACAACATGGGGGGATGTTGTATGTGTGGCAATTGGGACTTCTGCTTTCACTTCAGCATTTCCCACTGTCCTATAGTTAACAGCATTTTGGATGGGGGCACATGAGAAGAGCTTTACTTTGTAGACCAGTTTTCTCTTTCAAGAGATAAGATTCTTTAGGTTAAAGAATATGCATAAAGAATTTCAATTGAAAAGTCAAACAATCATTTAACTTAAAAATGAGAGCCAGCACACAGGCTTACTGTAATCTAAGCTTATCTACTAAACTGTTTAAAGCAGCAAGACTTTACTGGTTGAATATAGCCATCTTCACTACCATGCAACAACCACAAGCAGGAATGCCTCATTATAGACTCACGCACCACCCACATCCTGTTGAAATTCAGTGTGGAGCTGAATCTACAAATATAACCAGACTCTCTCCAAACACAAGGTGTTACTGACAAATTAGTTTAGGTCACTGGAGTAATGTGGAAAAGAGGAAGACAGAAATGGAACTCCCAGGGTAGACAGAAAGAACGTATCTGATTGGAAGAAACAAGAAAAAAGAGCTTACCGGTACTTGTGATGTAAAACAAGGAGAAACTTCTAACTTCATAAAGGAATACCAGCCATGGACCTACATTAACTAAATGCAAGGCTCCTTCTCGTCCTGATTTGGTTGGGGGAAAGCAGCCCAGGAAACAGGACTTCTAAGTTCTAGTATTTCACTTTTTATTTTTTATTTTATTTTATTTTTAAAAAAGTATATTTTATTGATTTTATACAGCGAGGAAGGGAGAGAGATAGAAAGTTAGAAACATCGATAAGAGAGAAACATCGATCAGCTGCCTCTTGCACACCCTCTACTGAGGATGTGCCCGCAACCAAGGTATATGCCCTGGACCAGAATCGAACCCAGGACCCTTCAGCCCGCAGGCTGACGCTCTATCCACTGAGCCTAACCGGTTAGGACTAGTATTTCACTTTTTAAATAAAGTTCTCACCTGAGGATGTTTTTCCATTGATTTCTAGAGAGTCAAAGGGAGGGATGATGAGGGAGGGGGTGGGGGAAGGGGAGAGAGGAGGGAGGGAAGAAAAGGAGGGAGGGAGGGAGAGAAAGGGGGGAAGGAGGGGGAAAGAGAGGGGGGGTGGGGAGAAACATCAACGTGAGAAAGTTCCATCAATCAACTGGCTGCTTCCTGCGCATGCCCTGACAGGGGGCGTGAGGTGCTGGGGAATCTGCAACCAAGATATGCATCCTTGACCAGGAATCAACCAGTGGCCCTTGGGTCTGTAGGTGGATGTTCTAACCATTGAGCAAGTAGGCCAGGGCCAATATCTCACTTCTTGAGTACACTGTATATTTATCAAGGACCATTCACACCTGGTAATTCTATAATTTCCTATTATCTTTTTGGGGGAAATACCACCTTTATTACTTTTCAAGCTCTAATCACAGCTTTGCTCTTAAAACTAAAATTTGGGGGAATCATTTTCCATTCAAAATTGGTTTCTTCTAGTTTCACCTATTCCACTGAAAATTGCCTCTTAAATGGCCAAAATTAGGCTTTCCTTTGAGTAGGATCCATCTGGTTGTTCAAAAGAAAATAGATTTAAACTGTGAGTTGGTCCTAACCGGTTTGGCTCAGTGGATAGAGCATCAGCCTTCGGACTCAAGGGTCCCAGATTCGATTCTGGTCGAGGGCATGTACCTTGGTTGTGGGCACTTCCCCAGTAGGGGGTGTGCAGGAGGCAGCTGATTGATGTTTCTCTCTCATCAATGTTTCTAACTCTCCCTCTCCCTTATTCTCAGTAAAAAAAAAATCAATAAAATATATGTTTTTTAAAAAACAAACAAACCACACACACTGTGAGTCAGAAACCTGGATTCTAGTCCTTAGTCTAATGATGTCTGGCAATTGGGGGTATGGGGTGGAGTGAGGTGGGGAGGGGAGTCTCAATTTATCCTCTAGTTCAGCTGTGAGCTGCAGTGAAAAAAAACCTCTTAAAAGATGCTATATGAAACTGGGATTTTGTTTGCAAAGTATTCTGAACTCCAAAGAAAAGATTTATTGACATAAAACATTTCTTGTATCTCTATCTTGGCTCAAGTTCCCTGTTATGTATCCACTTAAATTATACAGAGGTCTACAATGTTATCATTGATGACTTTGTCATGGACACAAAGTTCATTTTACTGACCCAGTTTAATGCCAATTTCTAGCAATAGCCAGTTCATCAAAATGGAATGGTTTGAAATATTCCATACTACCCATCTAAATGGGCTTACCTTTAGACCCTGATTAGAGAAATATAAATTATAAATGATTTTAATCAGAAATGGGGAAATCTTACCCCTAACATTTGTGGGTACTCAAGTTTCAGATTTCTTTGAGCTATAATCATCAACTGAGCATTATAATCAGAGGAATTTAACATGAAAAACAATTAAGTTGCTTTGAAAAATAAGTACCAACATAAAAAAGTACCAAATCTCAACAAATCAGTTCATATGATTACTAGAAATATGTCAGTAACTTGCAATATTGCCCTAACTGGTTTGGCTCAGTGGATAGAGCGTTGGCCTGTGGATTCAAGGGTCCCAGGTTCAATTCTGGTCAAGGGCATGTACCTTGGTTGCAGGCACATACCCAGTAGGGATGTGCAGGAAGTGGCTGATTGATGTTTCTCTCTCATCGATGTTTCTAACTCTCTATCCTTCTCCCTTCCTCTGTGTAAAAAATCAATAAAATATATTTTTAAAAATAACTTGCAATATTATACCAATAGTCTTCATTTTTAAGAGCTTCCTTTCTTTTCTTTTTTTAAAAAAAATATATTTTATTGATTTTCTTACAGAGAGGAAGAGAGAGGGATAGAAAGTTAGAAACATCGATGAGAGAGAATCATCGATCAGCTGCCTCTTGCACATCCCCTACTGGGGATGTGCCTGCAACCAAGGTACATGCCCTTGACTGGAATCGAACCTGGGATCTTTTAGTCCGCAGGCCGACGCTCTATCCATTGAGCCAAACCGGTTTCAGCTCCTTTCTTATTTATACCCAATGACAGAAGAGAGTGAACTCCAGTTGGTGGAGTTCAAAAATCTGAGATCAGAAGATACAAAATGCATTCTTCTTCTCCAAGTACCTGGGCTTGAGTACCTGGGAGGAAGCCAAACGTGGGCAGGTGCTACCATATGGGAAACACACAGTTGTTTTTTATGGAAGATTGTCTATTCTCACTCTACTACCTTCCTCAGAGATGGAGAGGATGGGGCTAGGCGGTAACCTTTGTTTCCTGGTTCCTGCGAGGAGCAGTGAGTACTGCACTAGGTTAAGCTCCCTATAGACAAGGTACTGGAGTACCCACTGGTGGGTTAGATACAGAGGCAGGTTTGAAAATGAGGGGGAAAGGAGATAATCAGAGCCGAATCACACACCAGGCACCAAGTAAGTCTCATTGCATCCTGCCAGCTGTCTAACCATTCATTTTAATCTCTATGCCGCCTCACTTCATACTTGAAGCTTCTCTGCAGTAACTGCTCCCTCTTCGGGATGGAAAGGCCAAAAAAGAAACTTACTTTACACAACTGAGAAAGGCCAGGGAAAAAAGGTTGCAGAGCAACAACAAAAAAGAATATTCAGCAAAATGTCTTGCTGACAGCTCAGGGCAATAAACAAACACACTGTGTGGTCATGGAGCAGGCAGCAGCAGCAGTCCTGGATGTGACTGTTAATACACTAAGTGATGAGACCTAGCAATCACAATTATATCTGAATACTACGGAGTGGAATTATGGAGCAGACAGACATATAATTCCATATCAACTATTCTATTCTGCTATCTGTAACAAGAATTCATTCCTGAAAAAGCGGCACATGCACCTGTCACTAACAGCCAAGCTGCCAGCAACTAAGAGTTCGCAGCAAAGGGCAGGGTTCATCTACTCCTCACAAGGTCTATTCACCACTCAATCCGTGGTATTTATAAGAAAAAGTCCGTAAGCAGAGAAGAAAGTAAGTACCCATTCCTTCTTTCTACCCTCTGTTTACTAAGCTGTTACCAAAGCCCTCATAACCAAATAAATAAGCAGTGGCACAGAGCAGCCAAAACAGACATTAAGAAGTAGAGGTGTGGGTTTTAACCCACCACTGGCAAATTTAGTTTTGGGACCTAAGGAATCAAATCTCTTAGTCTGTTTCCTAAACTGTTAAATAAGTAATGATTCCTAATTTGTAAAGTTGTAAATAAAAATAATCTATAAAATAAACACCCAGAGGTCATAACGCTCTAACAACCAAAGACCAGTCACAAGGAGGCTGCATGCGAGGTGAGGCATGCATGGGTGGGCGGGACCTCATGTGTAGTGAGATGCACTCGGGTGGGCGCGCTGCGTGTGCAGTGAGGTGCATGCAGGTGGGTGGGGCCATGCGATTTTGCACGCTGGGCTTCTAATGTATGTATAAAACGCTTAACATGGTGCCTGGCACAGAACAGATTATTGTATTAGTTGTAGTAGTGTGGTAGTGATAGTGATTGTGGAAGTACTAGTTCTACATCTAGCTAGCATTTAACTCTGGGCCAGGCACTGTTCTAAATGTTTTTTTTTTTTAATTCTTTTTAAAATAAATCTTTATTGTTCATATTATTACAAAAGTTCATTTTTTTCTTCTCCACCAGGTTCCTACCCCTCCCTCTGCCCTTTCCCCACTCCCCACTGTCCTCATCCATAGGTGCACAGTTTATGTTCCGTCTCTTCCTGTGCCCCATCTCCTCTTTTCCCTGAGAATTGTCAGTCCACTCCCTTTCTGTACCTCTGATTCTATTATATTCAACAGTTAATATTGTTCATCAAGTTTTTTAATTCCCTTGGTTTTTAGATTCACTTGTTGATAGTTACTACATACTTGTTGTTCATAATTTTTATCTTTATTTTCTTCCTTTTCCTAAAGAACCGCCTTCAGCAATTCATATAATTCTGGTTTGGCGGTGATGAACTCCTTTAGCTTTTTTTTTCATTTGTGAAGCTCTTTATCTGGCCTTCGATTCTGAGTGATAGCTTTGCTGGATAGATTATCTTTGGCTGTAGGTTCTTGCTATTCATCACCTTGAATATTTCTTGCCATTCCCTTCTGGCCTGCATGGTTTCTGTTGAGAAATCAGCTGACAATCGTATGGGTGCTCCTTTATAGGTAACTACCTGCTTTTCTCTTGCTGCTTTTAATATTCTCTCTTTGTCTTTTGCTCTTGGAATTTTAATTATGATGTGTCTTGGTGTGGTCCTCTTTGGATTCCTTTTGTTTGGAGTTCTGTGCGCTTCCTGGACTTGTAAGTCTAATTACAGGTGGGGGAAGTTTTCTGTCACTATTTCTTTCAGTATGTTTTCGCTATCTTGATCTCTGTCATCTTCTGGGATGCCCATAATTCTGATGTTGGTTCGCTTGAAGTTGTCCCAGAGGTTTCTTACACTATCTTCAACTTTCTGGATTCTCTTGTCTTCTTGTTTCTGCGGAGGAGTGTTCTCTGGCTGTGTTCCAAGTCTTTGACTTGATTCTTGCAATCTTCCATTCTGTTTTTAGGACTCTATAATATTTCTTTACTTCACAGAATGTATTCTTTATTTCTTGTTGACCCCTTATTATTTCTAGCTGATCCTTTATTATTTCTAGTTGATCCCTTTTCATATCTTCATAGGTCTTGTTTATCTTATCAGCCTTTTCTAGGAGATTCTTGAAAAACATTATTCTTGAAAAACATTAGAGTTCAAAAAGCATGGTTTTAAACTCTAAATCCAGTCGCTTTTTGTCCTCCAATTCTTTCGTTTGTGATCTGTTTCCTTGTCTCGGCATTTTCGCTGCTTCCCTGAGTTGGTAGGGTGGAAGGATCAGCTGTATCTATGTCAAGAGACAGCCTTCTTTGACTAAACTTGGAAAACTGCAAGAGCCTCTGTGTTCAGCTTGGATGGGGCGGAGTTTCAGGGTGGAGCCTATAGCCTTGGCTTCCAGTTAGCCCCGCCCTATGAGGT